TGAGTAGGCGGGGGGGCGGGGGCTGCGTTGCTAGATTTCCATCAGAAAAGACGCTAAAGGGTCCTGTTCTGATCAGCAGCATTCCTCAGGCCCTCATTAGTAAACTAGACAGTGCCAGAGTGATTCATTTAGACTTCAGCCCCCAACTCCCCCATTCACTTCTCTCCTGTTTCTTTTTGGTTTCAGTCCCATCTTTTCAGGCAGCTTTGTAAGGCACACTGTGCATTTGTGTGCATGCATGCATATAATTCTAAATTAACTGCCCTGGTGCAAATTTCTTTGTGTGCATACACATGCCACTATGTTTATTTTTTGTATGTTTTCTATACACGCATATAAATTCAGTTGTGTTCATCCAAGCATTTTCATATATGTGTATGCATACATACAGTATATGGATGACTTTATGCATGCCTTTTTTGTGCACGCTTCCATCATAAGATACTATTTCTGTACGCCTACATCAACCAATCACAACGGCTCTTTCAGGATCCTAACACCACCATTCCACCACATCAACAGCCAGTGATGAATCCCAAGTCCCAACAGGTTTGACTTCTAACAGTACCCAAAAAAAAGAGAGAGAGAGAGAGAACAGTTACTTGCCTTCATCATGTTCTCTGTTTCCCAATTTGTTTCTTACACCTCCCCCTTATATCCTCAGTTCTCTTCACAAACACTTTTTCTCCTTAATTTTGAGCTGCAATGAGAGCAGAGATGCCAGATTTTGGATCAAATGAAAATCAGTACATTAAATGAAGTACTGTATAGTACAGTTTTCAGATTTTGTGCTAGTTTCTACTTTAACTTTACTATGTTTTACTTTTTAACTCTACCCCTTCTATCTGCCAATTACAGTTACTATACTTTTAAGATTCTACACACAAGAACAAAATCAGCTAAAATATGATGCTGCTGATGTGGATCCTGACATCAATATCCCCCAAGGGCTCTCAAGCTAAATCTGAGGGGGCATGAGATGTTAAATGGCATGTGGAAAGAAGGAAATATCATATTTTTGTTGTCTAGACTAGGCTCATCTGAAGATGCAAGGTGTAATGCTGAGCCTAGTGAACTTTGATGACAGTAAACTTGCATAAGAGTGACTTAATCTGCCTTGTCCATCTATCTGTGTGTGTGTGTGTGTGTGTGTGTTTATGTTTGTGTGTGTGAACTCAGAGGTCACTGAGTTTGGATCTCTTCTGCTCAGGCTGTAGCATCAGAATGGGTTCCCATGGCAACGACGCCTTCTCTGTCTGAAGATGCATGAAATTGCCGCCAGCAGCAGATAAATGAGTGTGAAACAAAGAGAGAGTGTGAAGAAGAAGAAAGGGATGTGGTGAAAATGTCGAAAAAGTCCGTAGCTATAAAGAACACACACATGCACTAACGTGTCCTCTCACAGACATAATACTCAGGTGTAATGATGTTGGCCTTTGTGTTCCTCAGAGTAACATCCTGTAGGTTACAGGAATATTTTGTATAATATTTTGACCTTGACCTTGTTTTTGATTTCCTAGAAAGCACTACAAGCCAATCCGACACAATTCCATACAACATAGTAAAAATATTCAGCATTGATTGCTAAAGTTCTGTAGTAATTTTGAAAAACCTGCAAATGTCATACTGGCAGTAATTATCCATGTTATCTGAACTTCATGCTATTTATTTATATACAGTATGTTTAATTTCACACAGTGTTTTACAGAATACATTTATTAATGTTTTTGGATGCTGATGTGAATGAGATGGAGGTTGGTGGTGATTTCAGTGGTGTTTTTAGATGAAAAAATGAAGGGTAACAAATACTTTGGAAACTTGATTCAAGTGGTTAATATAAAGAATGGTTTTAAAAATGTTGTCAGATGTATCCGTCTTCATTTAACCTCAAATAAGACAAAACATGGTGCCCCACCTACAATGTTTGATCCCTGAAAAGAAAAGGCACCCCAGCCATGAGCCCTTAGCACCAGAGATGGAGTCAAAATAAAACAACATTGTAAAAAATAAAGGCAGTGTTGTGGATTACCAATTAACAGCTTCACATTCTTGCTAATCACAATGTATTTTAAAAATGTATTGTCATTTTAAACATTTTTAATAGCTGTACATTGATGAAACTTTCTTTGCTCTAAAAAAATATAAGCACATAAATGTGCAGTCTGTCACAATGCTTCTAGTGATGGCACCTCCCCCATCCTGCTTCACTGCTCTGGTAATGTAATGCCCACTTGTTTCCATGGTGTCTGCTGGTACTTCTGGCTTCACTCTTTTCACTTCAGAGGACCCTCCTTTTTAACGTGTGTGCATGTTTGAGCATGTGCGCTCATGCTACATGTGCCAAGTGTGTGTATGTGTGTTTGACAGGCTGAGGGTGATAATCACTGTTGCTGCTGTATTTGTAGCTCACCTACTGCTACTTCCTATTCTGGATTAAAATAGTCTTTTCTTTTGCCTTCTGGGGGCTGAAACACTCTCTTACACCCCTTTTTATTTATTTGAAGAAAGAGAAGGGCACCCACACATTCCCCCACCCACCACCCCTGAGCACCCCTCTACCCAGAGGAGTCCTCACAACACAGCTGTTAAACTTGTTGCTTTCTCAGTGATCCAAAGGAAAAGCCTGACAAAGGGTCAGCAGCCTCATCTGACACTGATTCAGGGCTGTTTATCACATGGGTGAAAATCTGTGTGCGGTGTTGTTGTACTTCTGTTCTTGTGAAAGCCAGTTTGAGTTATTTTATTTCAACGCTATGACACTTTTGGGAGGGAACATTTTGCCCAGCTTGCCACTGTGGGGTTAAGGTTAGATTTACAACTGTAGAACCCAAATGAAGTCACAATAATGGCGTCTTGAGGCTTGACATAGATTTTATTGCTTTAAGACTCGACCAACCAGAGACTCGACTTGGCTTGGAACTTGAAAGTCAAATGTTTCAGGTTTTGAAGCAGTTGGTTAAAATCGTGGAACAAGAAAACTTCTCTTATATTACTTGATTTGAAACTTGCCTCAAATGACTCAAGATTTCACCTTGAACTATCCTTGAATGACTTGTGAAAGGACTTGAGACTCAAACCCAGATTTATCTAAGAAAACAAAAACTTGATTTGAAAATTTAAACTCAAAAGACATGTCAAATGTCTTTGTTTAGATTTATCCTAATTACATCAATTCAGTTCTTATTCTATTCCACTTTTATTCTACTTTATTCTGTTTTAGTTTCTAAATGTGATTGCACCCAATACTAGGTGAGAGAGAAACGGTATTTCAATTTTTGTATGTCCTGCACATATGGTGAATTGCCAATAAAATCCTTGAACCTTGAACCAAATAACTTGACACATGAACTTGTTTCAAATAATGTAAAATTACTGAAGAATAGTTTTGGATCTGTCCAAGTCAAGACTTGGCTTCCTGAAT